TTTTTCAAGCTGTTTTTCTCTGCTTCAATAAGGCATGAGAGAAGCATATTTCCTTTATATATATTCCAAATCTACAGTTTCAAGGATACAAGTAATATTCTAAAATTATACTTCAAAAGGTTATTATTGCAGAACTCTTTATGGATTAAATGCAAGCAAAAAGCAACATCTATAACACTTTAATTCAAATGCTCCTAAATCAACTAGGGTTAATTTGCAAACAAAAGATAGGTTCAAAAGTCTTTTTCCATGCTTTATTTTCCTCAGTTATTACTAGAATTCACAACTATCCCATTGTCAGTATCCACACATTTCTCATTCACAAGTACACACGTTGCCTGTTTGTACCACGAAAGACAGCTTTGCATCTCACAAGGGGTTGTGAGGGGCCGTGAGGGGCTGTGAGGGGCCATGTGGGGCTGTGAGGGACCATGAGCAGCTGTGAGGGGCCCTTGCCCCTCTATGGAGAACTGTCATTCCTGTCCAGGAACCCATGGCTGAAATGGAATTCCACCCCAAAACTCCCCATATATCCAAGGGTTGCTTTCAGACAAAAGCTGCAAGGACAGACAGGTCTGGCTTGCCTTGGCCTCTGGGGACTGCTTCTCATGTGCCTTCAAAACCCTGGAGTTCTGTGATTTCCTTCCTATAGGAAAGAACTGTCCTCATTGTCCAGGTGCTCCTGGCCTCAAGCACTTGACCACTATACAGGGATGCAGTTCGACAAGAAAGTCTCACAGATATGTATGCTTGGCTGAAAGATTTTTGAATGTAATGTCTGAAGACGAATATAAATGAAAGCAAGTTTTGATATAAAAGAAAAGAATTGATGAGCCAGTCTTTTTGGATAGCTAAGAAGGCAAAGTGTATGTTAGTTAGAAGGGGTTTTTATGACTTAGAGCAAAGGATAAGCCCACCTCAAACAAGAAGATTTTACCAAGCAGAAAGATAGCACAGGCAAACAAGTCAGCAAATTTTGCAAGTAGAAAAAAGGTCTCAGAATTTTCCACTGCAAGAAAACTGGAAAACAACTTTTAGCTTAAACTTTAATGTACTAACTTTTAGTGATTGGAGAATAGTAACATGAATATGGTAATGATAGTAGTTATGATTGGCTATAGGTAAAAGTTAAGGTATAGATTGGTTCTATTTTGTGAAGATGGTCAGCAAAGAAAAGTATATCATGCATTTGTAACCTAAACTAAGGGTCTCCAGGCCTGCAGCTGGAGCTGACAGCTGTAGGCACAGGCTCTGTCACCCATGACTCTGGACTGCTGTATCACCTTGGATACAATAAACTGCACTTTGAAGAGCCGCCTGGCATCCCACATCCGTCATTTCAGCTCTCACAAACTGGTGTTGCCCGGAACTGCCAGTGCCCAGATCCAGAAATTTCCTGGTGCTGGTGCAGCCCAAGTGCAGCAATTTGCAGGCAAAACCCCCCAAAATCTGGCAATTTTCCACTGCTGGCTCTGTTGCTGCCCAGACCTGGAGTTTCCCAGCACTGCCATTGCCCAGATGCAGAAATTTCCCAGTGCTGGCAAAGCCCAAGTGCAGCAATTTGCTGGCACAGAAATCAAAAACCTGGCAAATACCTGGGGCTGGCACCACCCAGATCTGGTGTTTTCCAGCACTGCCAGTGTCCAAACATGGCATGGCAATTTCCTGGTGCTGGCCCAGCCCAATTCCAGCAATTTGCTGGCAATGAAAGCCTAAATCAAGCAAATACCTGGATTTAAAAGGTATTTAAAGCAACCCAATCTCATGTTTGCTGACACCGCCAGTGCCCAGATCCGGAAATTTTCAGATGCCTGCACAGCATAATTCCAGCAATTTGCTGGCAGAGAAGGTTCGCATTTGGCAATTTCCCGCTGCCAGCACATTCCCCACCCAGATCTGGTGTGCACTGGCACTGCCAGTGCCCACATCTGGCAATTTCCCGATGCCAGCAAAACCCAAAGGCAGCAATTTTCTGGCAAAGAAAGCCCAAACTTGGCAGCGCCCAGATCTGCTGTGTTTGGGTTGGTTTAAAAGAAGGAGACCTCGGCTTAAGGCTGTGGGAAAACCCTCTTTAGGGTGAGCAGGAGCTCCCGCCCATAATCTTCTTGTTCAGTTATGCAGATTGTTACTAGAAAGTTCTGAGTTCTCTTTGCTACCATTGGTTACTTTTTGCCGCAAAATTGTAATATTCTTAATCATTCCTTCCTCTTGGATCCTTCCCTCAGATCCCACCTTAACCCCTCCCCATAAATAAATGTATAAATATCCCTGCTAGATCCTGGATCCAGGCTTTTTTCTGCTTCTCTCTCTGTACTGTGCACGCCATCCTGTTTGTTGTGTTTGCCTTCAGTAAAGTTCTGTTTCCACACAACCAGATGAAAGCAGTCTCTGTCTGTAAAGTGGCCAGAGCTGGTTCTCAGGGAAACCACTGGTCAACGGTCCGGACGAGGACCAGAAGGTTTCACTGGTGTTTGCTGGCACTGCCAGTGCCCCGATCTGGAAATTTCCCTGTTCCAGCACCACCCATGTCCAGCAATTTGCTGGCACAGAAAGCTAAAACCTGTGGCAGCTTCCTGCTACTGGGTCTGGCACCACCCACATCTTGCGTTTGCTGCACCAGTGCCCAGATTTGGAAATTTCCCGGTGCCAGCAGAGCCCAAATCTGGCAGATTTCTGTCACTGGCAATGACACCACCCAGATCTAGTGTTTGCTGGCAGCGCCAGCACCCAGATCTGAAAACTTCCTGGTGCTGGCACAGCCCAAGTCCGGGGAATTGCTGGCACAGAAAGCCAAACTTTGGAAATCTGCAGGTTCTGGCACCAGCATCATCCAGATCTGGTGTTTGCTGGGACCGCCAGTGCCCAGACTTGGAAATTTCCTGATGCCTTCACAGCCCAGGTCTAGCAATTTGGTTTTAGCTAGCTGGGGCAGAGAAGTTCCTCGGACTGTGACTTTCCTTTTTCTTGGAATTGTTTAAACCCGCTCTGGAGGGAAGTCTTTTCCTCAGCTAGTAGGGGGAGGGGCCGCTGGAACTTGCTTTCTAGACTGACCCCTTTTGGAGGTTTCCTTCCAAAATTTGCCTGAAACCAGCACAAACAGTCACAATGAAAACTTCACCAGTGGCACAACTCCCCAGGAAAAGAACGGACATGTAAAGTTCTCCTAACATTTGTCCTGCTTTGCTGCAAAAGTCCTGCTGCACACACTGTGCACTGTGGAAAGCTAAGAGAAGCTGCAGCTGGTGGCAAATCTTGTGACAGAGGCTCAACCTTGTTCTCCATGAGAGATTCTTGAGAAGAGCAGACAGCAGATGATTCCTGGAAAACTGAAACAGCTTTCCAGAAGGGAAATGAAAATGAAAGAAACAATCCAAGATGTTTTCCTCTATTTATTTCTATGCTCCTCTTTTCCATGTTGCACTGCTTCTCCATCCCATTCATTCCAAATGCACCTCAGCTCTAAAATCTGTGACTTGGCAAGTTTTAGACACTCTAAAATACGATGAGCTACACACAGTTTTCCTTTCCACACAGGAAAGCAACACTGGAGGTGTAAGTGCAGTGCTTGGGTCAGGTAGGAATCCTACCCCAAGGGAAGGTGGCCCGGCAGTGTCTGACCCTCAGCAAGGACAATGCACAGCAGCGAGGAAGGAGATCGCTGTGCCACTGTGCAGGAGTCAGGGCTCCGCATCTGGGCTCAAGGCTGCAAAGTTCCCGTGTTTGGGCAGACGGAGGGGCTGTCCCCGGGGCGCGCGGGGCTCGAACGTGGGGCTCGTGGGGCGAGCGGGGAACGGACACGGGGACGAACGGCCCCGGTGCTTCAGTTGCAGCAGCGGCAGCGGCGGCAGCAGCAGCAGCGGCGGCAGCAGTAGCGGCAGCAGCAGCAAAACAGATAGTTTTGAATAGTCTTTCTCTCTCTCTCTCTTTCTCTTTCTCTCCCTTTCCCGCTGTCGGGCACCCTTCTCTCGGGGTCCCCTGCCCGGCGTCCCTCTCCTCTCCCCGCCTCCCTCTCCCCTGCCGGGCTCGGCCATGCCCCCGGCCCGCCCCCGGCCCCGGGCGGGGCTGCCCCGTGCCCGGCCCCGGCCGTCCCGCCGCGGTCTCGCCTCCGTCCGGCTCTGGCCGTACTGGCGGTGGCGCTGCTGGGCGGGCATCAGTGCCTGGGGCGGGGGCGTTATCGCCGCCCTTTGCCTCCGCCTGGCCCAAGCCCGGCCCCGGACCCGACGCAGGGTCCAGTCCCGAGCCCGGCCCCGGCCCCGGCCCCGGCCCCGGCCCCGGCCCCCGCTCCTCCCGCGGCCCGCGGAGGACACAGGCGGCGCGGCCGCTCCCGCCGCCTCCGCTGCGGCTTCCCCGGCCCGAGCTCCGCCGCTCGGCAGCGCGGCCGCCAGCCCAGAGCCTCCCGTGCCGCGTTCCGAAGATGGAACGCCTGGGCATGGCCGGCCCGGGGCGGGTGAGGGGCGCTCGGGGGCCGTTGCTGGCCCCGGGCCGAGCGCTGACAGCCGCGTCCCGCCCGCAGGGACGGCGCAGGAGGCCCTGCAGGAGCGGTACAGGCTGGGATCGCTGCTGGGGCGCGGCGGCTTCGGCAGAGTCTTCGCGGCCACGAGGCTCTCGGACGGCGCCCCGGTGAGCGGCGGGGCCGGCGGCGGGCTCAGGAGGAGGGGATGGAGGAGGAGGAGGGCGGAGGGCGGAGGATGGGGCTCGCAGTGCGGGCGGCGAGCTCACCCCGCTGCTGCCCTTGGCTTGCAGGTGGCCATCAAAAGGGTGCCACGGAACCGCGTCCGGCACTGGGGCGAGCTGGTGAGTGAGCGGGGCCAGCAGCCGGGGCTGCCGGCCGGGGATTAGCCGGCGCCCGGCACGGTGGGAGCCACCAGGACGCCCCCAGAGAGAGCGGGCGTGGGGCCAGCGCAGGGCGCAGAGCATCCCGGGCTGGCTGAGGGCTTCCCCAGGCCTGGCACTGCAACGGCCCCACTGACGGCATCGTGCTTCTCCCGCAGCCCGACGGCACCAGCGCACCCCTGGAGATCGTGCTGCTGGCCAGGGTGTCCACTGGCTTCCCCGGTGTGGTCCAGCTGCTGGAGTGGCTCGAGCTCCCCAGCTGCATCGTGATGGTGCTGGAGCGGCCAGAGCGGTGTCAGGACCTGCATCATTTCATTCGGGCACGGCGGTTCCTGCCTGAGGAGGAGGCACGGGAGCTGTTCCGCCAGGTGCTGGAGGCCGTGCGGCACTGCACCAGCTGCGGGGTCCTGCACCGCGACATCAAACCAGAGAACATCCTGGTTGACCTGGACACCGGGCAGGCCAAACTCATTGACTTTGGCTGTGGCACCTACCTGCAGGACACAGTCTACACTCACTTTGCAGGTGAGCCTGCAGAGGGCTGTGCTCCCGCTGCTGACATCTCATGGCCCAACATCTCCCAGCCCAAGCTGGCTGTGGCAGCGGGGATTCTCCCTTTTGCTGCCAGTCAGGGCACTGAATCTTCAGCTGGGTTGCTTTAGAGCAGGGCTGGGTGGGCAGCCATCTTCCAGCCCTGCTGGCAGCCTTTGCCAGCCACTCTACCCAGGACTAGGGCTGGGCTGGGGCAGCCAGCCCAACCAAAAGCCCCGTGGGTGGGGGTAGCAGAGAGGGAGGGCGGAACCTTTGCCCCAGCCACTTTGGTATGCAGATGACAGGAAGGGCTTGGGCTGCTTCACTCGCCCTGTTTCCCTTGGCTTCATAATATTTTTGGGGAAATGCAGGCAGGGAGGATAAGGGCATGTTTTTTCCCCAGCATGGAGTGGGTTTTTCCTTTGCATGTCATGGTCGGGCCTAGCCAGGGCTGCCCTCTTCCAGCACCAGAGGCTTCTTTTCCAACCCTAACTTTGTGCACAAGTCCCAGATGCTGGCGAGAGGGCAGTGGTCACGCCGTGTGCCCCTGATGCAGCCCCCACACACCCAGGGATGCTGGGGCCAGGCTCTGGGAGCAGCAGCATCCCCCTGATGAACTCCATCTGTATTCCATAGGAACACTGTCCTACAGCCCCCCGGAATGGAACGACTTTGGCTGGTACCATGGCGAGGCAGCAACAGTCTGGTCCCTGGGCATCCTGCTGCACCAGATGGTCTGCGGGGAGCACCCTTTCAGAAGGGGCCAGAACCTCAGCTGGGGCCAGCTCCCGCTGCCACAAGGGCTCTCTCAAGGTGGATACTCTTCTCTGGGCATGGGGGGAATCCCAGTGCTGGGAGCCAGCAGCCGGCTAGTGGGCATCCCGCTCTGGCAGCTGCTGAGGAGGTGGCACATGTCCTGCTCTCCTCCAAAACAGGGAATTGATGGGAAAGTTTAGGCCCAGCTCTGAGCACATCCAGCATGGCCTGGGCGTGGGAATAGTGGGGCAAAGCAGACAGGAGCCTTCTCTGGCTGACCGGCAGTTTCTGCTTTCTCTTCCCAGAGTGCAAAGACCTGATCAGGTGGTGTTTATCCGTGAACTCCTTGGACAGACCCGCACTGGAAGACCTGTTCTGTGATCCTTGGATGTGGGATATTCCTCTGCCATAGAAGAAGGGAGAGAGCCACAGGCACACTTTGATCCAGGGCCCTGGTAAGTTCCTGCTCCACATATGCCTTGGCAACGAGAAGCAAAGGAACCCAGAGCTTTTTGTGCTGCCTGTGTCACTGCACCGGGGTCATGGGATGGGAACACACAGCCCTTGTGCTGGGGCTGAGCTGCTCTGCCCAGCACTGGTGGCCACCATCCCAGCTGGTTTTGCTTGTCCTGGTTCCCTGACAGCTGGGGCCCTGGGCAGAGCCCTGAGAGGCTGGTCTGCCCCCAGGGAAGGAGAAGGAGCCCCTGGAGAAGCTGTACCGGGTGGGGATGCTGCTGCTGCTGCTGCTGCTGCTGCTGCTGCTGCTGCTGCTGCTGCTGCTGCTGCTGGAGACAGCGAGGGTGACATCAAGGATGACAAGCTCTTCCTCAGCCTGGCCACTGGAGGTTGAAGGTGGTGCACTTTGATTCTGGCACCTTCTTCAAAGCCAAACTCCACAGGGAATTTGCAGATGAGTCCCACCTGGGAAATTCTGCCAGATCTGGGCATAACCCAGCGTGGCAGGGAACCAAAGACTCCCCCTTTGCTGGGGCAGATGCAAGTAATTCTTCAGTGGCTGCCCAGCTGCTTTTGGCAGGGTGAGGCATGGGCTGGGGTGGGTACGAAATGGGATTGGGCTCCTGGCCCTGCCAACAGCCCCCAGCACCCACCGTGCCCCGGGCTGGGGCTGGGGCTGGGGCTGGGGCAGCCAGCCCGACACAAACAAAGCCCCATGGTGGGAGCAGAGGTGGGACTCCAGAACCTGTGCACAGCTGCTTTGCTGTGCAGGCAAGGAAGGGCTTGGGCTGCTCCACTGCCCTTGTTTGCTTTGGGGTCACCGTGATTTTGGGGGGCAGTGCAGGGGGGAAGAGAGAAAGTGTGGGTTTCCCACAGCCATGGCTGGGTTTTTCCCTGGCATGCAGGGGTTGGGCCTTCCTCAAGACCCTGACAGAGATAAGACTTTTTACCAATTTTCTTGTTTTCCCATTTTGTCTCTAAACTCTTTTCAATAATGTGTTGTTTGTTATTCCAGAGGAAGCATTCCAGGTGGTCCAGTGTGGATGGGGAAGTGCTTGGGAGCAGCTGTGGTGTGGATGGGCCGTGCCCTTGGAGAAGGCTGAGGCTGTGGTTTGGGAGCAGCTTTTCTTCCAGCCATGGGTGGCGTGAGGTGGGTCCCTGTGTGCTTGGCAGGGTGGGATCAGAGCTTTTGGGAGCTGGCAGCGAGCACAGGAGCATCCTGCTCCAGGCAGCTGCTGAGGGCTGGATGTGCCGTGGCTGGCTGCAGGCGGGGCACATGTGCTGCCCTCCTGCTCTGTGCCTTTGGCAGCAGGGATGGGCAGCTCTGGGCACAGCTCTGGGCGCAGCCAGCATGGCCTGGTCATCGCAGGCCTTGGCACAAGGGCACAGGAGCCCTCAGCTGACGGGCGGTTTCTGCTTTCTCTCCTTGCAGCCGGGCTCTGCGGGTGCTGAGGCTGCTCTGGGCTCTGCCAGGGCTCTGCTGGGCTCAGCCCTGGGCCCAGCTGGGCTGGCTCTGCCCTCACATTGCTCTGACAGCTCTGCATCAGACCAGCCCGCTGCGAGCACAGCGCCTGAGCTTTCTGCTTTGGCAGGTGAGTGAGACTCTGCTGCAGGCCCAGAGATTGCAGCTGGGGACACGCATCCAATTGGCAAGGACCCAAACTCTCCACAGTCCCAGCTGAACGCCTGGATCTGTACAGGGTGTTTTGTGTGTCCCATTCTTCCTTCTTGATTGGCTGGAATTGTGCAATTGCACTTTCTTCCTCCTCTAGAAGTGCCACGAGTGGGCCAAAGCTGGCGAGTGGGCCGTGTTCCTGAGGTACTGCAGTCTGGAGCTGATGGATGGAGAATTGCCCTTCTGCACTGCCAAACCAGAGCAAAAAGCTGTCAGTGGGACTTCGTGTCTCTAAGAAACTCCTGGCAGTTACAACAGGAATGTGCAGCTCATTTGCAGGGTGAGAAGGAAGGTGATCTTCTAAAGGATTTGGGGTTTGACAGAGTTTCCATTCCCAGTCCTGCTTGGAGCTGGAAGGGCACAAAGCAATTTCCTCTTGCTTCAACCACAATTTCAAATACCAGTGTTGGGAACAAAGCCCAAAATCTTTTAAGAGGCTGCTGAGGTCAGTAAGATGGATCCATGCCATCAGCACATTTACAATGTAAAGAACTGAGTTCTCTTTTGAAAAAGATCATTTACCTCTTAATGCAAAGAATGTGTCTTTGCATTTATGTTTTGTTTTTTTCACTAACATTGTGTTATGTTTTTTCACTAACACTTGGATTTTATTCTTATCTTTTACAATTTACCTAGATTTTTCCTTTTTCCTTTTTTTCCTTCTAAATAGAAAACATGTCCTACAGAAGAAATGTCCTTTGCTCCTGGTTCCCGTGTGGAGCAGCTCCCTTCCTGCTGGCACAGCTGCTCAGGCAGAGCCTGGCAGCTCCTGGCCCTGCAGGGCTGAGGCTTTTCCCCATTGCTGGGCACAGACTGATGGAGCAGCACTGCTGAACACAGGCACACAGAGGGACCAGCAGCAGCTGCCTTTGGCCACCTGAGGCTCCAAGGCCCAAACTCTGATCAGCCAGGGCTGGAAGAGACTGGCAGGATCTGATCCCTGACTCTGGGCCAGGGCTGCACAAATGACCCCACGGCAGCAGCAGCAGCAGCAGCAGCAGCAGCAGCAGCAGCAGCAGCAGATGGAGCTGACTTTGAGCACAGCCCCTGCCCCTCTTCCCTCCCGTGTGCAGCGGTGTCACAGCAGCCTGAGGCACCTGGGAGCCCCCAGTGCCAGCAGGGACTGGAGATGGCAGCCCTGGGCTCCTGGAGGCTGTGCAAGGAACGGAGCTGGGCACTCCCTGTCCATGGGGAGCTTCCAGATGGAAAAGGCTGCTGTGCCCAGGCAGCTCCAAGGGCACAGAAAGGAGGCTCTGGAGCACTGGATCTGTGCCAGTGCCACAGTCCTGGGCAGCAGCCACCGAGCCCTGGGGAAACAGAGGGCACAGCAAGAGGGACAGAACCAGGCAAGGGCAGAGACTGGAGAGAGCCAGGCCTGGGAGCAGGAGCAGCTGCTCCATTGCACTCTTGGAGAAAGCTCTTGGCTGGTTCAAAGCGCTGAAAGACGTGAAGGGCAGAGAGGAGGCCACAGCAAACAATGCTCCTGTTTGCACAGCCTCCCCTCTCCATGTCCCAGAAGGAATTGCATGGACTGTGCTCTTCTCTCCGATTCGTCTCGTTCAGCATGAGCACCTCAGCACCAGGAGCTGAAGGAGCTGAAGCCTCAGGCCACAGGAGCTGGGCAAGAGGAGACTTTCTGAGCAAAGTAATGCTGCTAAAATAGCCCCAACTGAATGCAGTGGATATTAGCATGGAGCCACAGAATCCTTTCTGTTGGAAAAGCCCTCTGAGCTCACCCAGTGCAGCCGCTCACCCAGCAGTGCCAAGCCCAGCACTAAAAAACGTCCCTGAAGTGCCAAGGTCTGAACACCAGCCCTGAGTGCGGCCTGAACAGCAGGCCCTGAGCCAAAGATGGCCTCTGGATGAACCTTCCAAGCAAAGGTTATCTTTGTATCTGCTCCCTGATGAAATATGCATGGTCATTAGCACTGAGATAGATGTAGCCACTCATTAGTGAAACATGTATTGACCTTTGTGTATTTAGAAGCCAGACAAGGCCATGAAATCTGACATCTGGCCTTGTTTGGGGCTGAAGGATCAAAGTCACCTCCCTTGGTTCCTCCTTGAGCCCTGGCCAGGCTTTGGGAGGAACCCAAGAGGAGGATGAAAGCAGATGTTGCCACACTAGCAGTGCTGTCAGTTTGTTCCTTCAGCACTGTCAGAGCTGGGCCCTCTCCCAGCGGGGTTGGAGCCTCACCTGGGGCTGGAGGCACCTGCAGGAATGCCCAGTGCCCAGGAGTGGCTCTGCAGCCCTTGGCTGTGACAGCTTCCCCAGCTGCTGTGTGGGTCTAGGGGATGGTAAAGGCTGAGGGTGAATGCTGCTGGATCTTTCTTAATCACTGCTGCAATCTTTGGTGGGGATGGCTGGGTGCATTGCTGAGCTGCTCCTGTTGTGATTCTTTGCTGCTCTGAACTGCAGGAAATGACACTGATTTGTTCAGCTGGAGTCTGTGTCTTTGGTGCTGACCCTGCCCACTGGTAAAACAAAACTGGCAGAGTCTGGCCAGATGCCAACAAAATGTCACTTGTTCAGTGTAAATGTGAGGAATCAGTGCCATCAGAAATTCCCAGCTGGGAAGCCCTTCCCTGGAGTTCCCTGGCTCTGGAGTGGGCTGAGGTTGGAGCCCCGTGGGAGCAGTGGGGCAGTTGGGTAAAAGAGGCTGCATATGAAATATCTATATACATAATAATTATATATGTATTTATAGTATAATAAGACCTCAATATATCTATTTATACAAATTTATTTATGTCTGTATCTATCTATATTTCTATATCACTATATATCTATGAAATTATATAAGAATGTGAAATAGTGCTGACAATACTAATTTGGTAGCTTTGGCTGCTCAGGGATGTAAC